GATTGTTGCCTGCAATGGCTGTGCGGAAAGTGGTAACCGATTATGAGTCCCCTGTGTGGCAAGCCGTCCGTCAAATTTTGCCTGGTGTAACGATGACCGGCTGCCTCTTCCATTACACACAGGTATACCTATATAATTCAGAAACTTTCCCAAACGATAACTTCATTTTGATTTATCCACGTGATAATAATAATTATAATACTGTTATTACTCATACTATTTTTATATTTTACTTATTTACTTTTACAGGCTGTGTTCCGAAAGGTTCAAGAATTTGGATTACAACGGGCCTACCGATTTGACGCTGCTACACACATGGTACATATATATTTTTTTAATTCAGCAAATTTAACAAACATAAATTAATAAACAATAAAACACCAATCTAATATTAATTCTAATTAATACAAATCTTTATCATTAATAAAAGTATTAAAATTCACTTTATTTTTATATTTTATTTTTATTATTCAGATAATCAGACAGTTGATGGCTTTGCCCACGCTCCCAGTAGAGCATGTTGCTCCTGTCTTTCAGCGTCTTGAGGATTCCTCGGCAGATGTCCCTGCGCTGCAGCAAATTATGACTTACATGCGATCGTTCTGGTTAGATGGTACTGTTTTCACACCTCGGGATTGGGTCATATACAGACAGACGATCCGGACTAACAACGATCTTGAGGGATGGCATCACCGCCTTAACAGGAGAGGCAAACGTGGTAAGAAAATGGTTTATTAATTACATTTTGATAGAAATAAGATGTACACAAGACGGAATATGAGAGCCTACGTCTAATTAACATTTGATATAAACAAATTAATAACTCATTTTTTCATATACATCGTTTCAAAAAACAAAAATTAAAATACTTATAATTAAACTCTGTTTGTCGTTTCAGCTAAGATTCCATTCTACATGCTCTGCACTTTACTCTACGAGGAAGCCCTCACTGTATCCATCAATGTTGAGCTAATCTACAGAGAAGACCAGCTCCGTGTTGAAAAGAATGGATGCCAATCAGCCACCGCACGATTGGTTGCACTTTGGGATGAATATCGTGCCGGTCAAC